TTTGAGTCCCATCCAACATATAAGGCTCAGCCTGTTTTCCTTTCATAAAATACAATGCGGTAGCTCCCAAATCTCAACTTTTTTTTCTTCAAAGCTGTGGGAGTGAAGGTGAGGAACTAATAATTGATTTGCAGATTTATACCAGAGTGACAATGGGCATAATTTGGCCTCTGGTATTTTCAATTTGGGCCTTTGTTGAGATTAGTTGGCTAGCGGTGCTGATTTATACCAATCTGTGCACTAATGGTGTCTTTAGGAGAGATGAGGAATAAAATGAGATCCAAAAATAGATTTTCAATTGTATACTAACATATAATTTGAACCCAGATCTCCAGCAATTAGAGGCATATACAATCACTGTTTCACTTTGAGGACATACCCCCTGAGACTTACTTAGGAGTGGAGATCCAAAATTGTTCACAGAACAATTTAACTGCTAATTCTCTCCATTTTATGTCAAATCATAATTTTTGCCCTTGAAAAACTCAAAATTGTATATTGCATCATCAGGAATCACTGCTGAAAATCTTAACAGATATCACATAATTTCCACAAGAATCTGCATATATTGGTGGAGATTCTCCTTCTCATGTAAAAAGTCCTTTGTCCCTTTACACAATTCTGGCAAGGAAAGGAAATTTTAAAGTGGAAGTAAATTACACTTACACTCACTTTAAGTCCCATTTACATGGCCAGACTGAAGTCCTAATGGGGCCAGAATTTCTGTCCACAAGTAAAGAAAGAGGCTGAGAGACAGATTTTAACGGTATTTAGGCACCTAAAGATTCAGACAGGCACTAAAGCTTTTCCAAAAGAGTCTAGGTGCAGAAATCCCATTGAAATGAATGGGAATTAGGTGTCCATGTCCTTTTGAAAATCCCACTATGATAAAATCCCACAGTGAATAAGATTTGTCTCTTTAGCACCGACACAAATGCTGTGTGCACTGAGTTTATTGGAACGTAGCAAGTAATTTTCCCTTGATGCTATGAATATCCTGTAACTTTTCTGTAAAGTTATTAAAAGACATACAGTTTTTAAATCCCATTAGGGACTTTAGCTGTGTAAAATTAGCAAGCAAAAGAGCTGGTATAACTAACTTTTTGCAAATTCATTGGGATTTTATATTGCCATGAAAAACCCCATGCATAGCATGGTCTTACAATACATGATTGCATTCTCTTTTAAATCATTGCTTCACCATGGGACTCGGCAGGTTCAGTAACTGATGTTGGCCATAATTCAGGGTTTCTTTTTTTTTAAAGTTTCTTGGTTAGTCACAAGAAACTAGTATGTGAATGAAAAGCTAGCCTTTAAATCCACTGTTAAAAGGCAACTTCTATTAGCCTCAAGAAGAACAAGTAAATCAGTTGATACTTTCTCTCTTCTGGATACAAATGCAAAGGCAACAGGGCCAAGCTCAGAAAGGCTTTTTTCTGGCCACACTAAGATAAAGTTTTAGTTTAATTTAGAATGGAAAATATTTTTGGTGTCAGCTGTTGACTCACCGCACATGGCTATTTCTGTTACTGTCTCCAAAGAGAAGTTGTTGCAGGACACAGGCTTGAACTGCGGCCAATACTCCACATGGGCCGCCCTAAAACGAATAATACACTGGATGAACAAAACAACTAGCACTGTTTGATGCTGGTGAGAACTTTTCACAACCCATGTGTTTTCATTCAAGTTTAAAGCCATCCTTTGATCTATGTGTTTTGCTTACTGAATTTGCAGCACTGTGCTGCTTTTTGAAGCAACTGAAAAGTCAGCATTACTAATTGAGGGTCTGTTTCTTCTGTGCTCTGTTTGAAAGTGCCTAGAACATTCTGTACAGACATCTATGAAGTCAAGGACAGGAGTTTTATCTCCTCCACCATCAAGCAAAAATATTGCTCCTAATGCCCCTTGAATATGCACCTTGCCCGAAGATGAAAATAAAATGAGGAAGGTCTATATTCCTACTCGTTGAAATTAACCCCTAGGCAGAGCCCCCCACCTCCTGCCCCCACAGCCTATTCATGAATTAAATCCCATACAAACTCTCAAAATAGGGTTTCAGTGGTACATATGTCTGGTGTGGGCCCTCTGCATAGGGAAGAATTTCACCCACAGAGAATAACAGGGAGAGATGGAAGTTGTGTGCTAAATGGGCTTGATTCAGACACTGTCACGGGAAGATGAAAAGCTCCTCTCTCTGCATATATTACTGTTTTCAAGTCCAGGTTCATACTTAAATATATGAGCCAACCCTTTATATTCTTGTGCATTAATGTGATCTGCCATCTTAGAGCATTATGAAAAACCACAATATTGTTTAAAGTATGTAAGAGGCTTCAATCCACTCTTCTGTCAAAGTCCTAGAGAGGCATGGCCCATCACAAGCACACATTTTAAACCGCATCCAGTTATGCAATTTTTATCTAGTTAGGAACTTCATTTTGTTGCTTATTATAGGTATGTGCAACGCCTTGCACAATGAGGCCCCAGTCCCTGAATAAAGCCTCTAGGTGCTACCACAATATAAACAGTAGATAATAAATGCATTTCATCCAGAACAAATATTCAGCAGAGAAACTTAACTTTTTCTTCACTCTCTCAATAAATCATTTAAATAACTAATGAGTGAATCTTTGGAATACTGACCTGTGGAAAACAGCAGGGTTTATTTCAGTCTGTCAAGGAAAGCTCCCGATATTAAAAGTTTACATGAAACACAGCAACTGTTTCATATCACTCAGAACTACTATGGTTTAACAACTAGAGTGAAACACAGAAACTAACACTATAAAGCAGCAGTATACAAACAGTTAAGTGAAGTCAAGTTAGGAAGTGAAGAGAAAAATACAGTATACATTTGAAATTTACAAATGTAACCAGAATTCCAGGGTTTCATCCCCTTCTTTTGGTCTCCATAGGACCTTTAATGGAAGACAGACATCTTTAATGACCAAAGATATTCTAGACCTCAAGATGATGGCACCGCTTGTAGCAGAATGTTTCCTAAAGCATTGGTTCAAAATTGACTAAAAGGAATAAATGTTACCTACTGATTCACCATACATCCTGGAGCACCCTGAGTTTTCTTCTGAAGTTTTCCATCTAGCCCAACTCTCCTTAAAAGATTTAGCTATTTTGAAGATTTCTGAAGTAAAATTCCATTCATTAACCAGTGATGAAAAAGAAAAAGGAATATCTTTTAAAGAAGGATGGTTTCTTTTCTTAAGGTAACACCCAACTTCTGGAAACTTTAGGTTAAAGGTAAAGATCATTGAGCTTTGAAGGAAGTCATTCACTGTACCTGTTTTTGAACGATGCCGTATTTTAGCTGTGGTATACTGTTAAATGTAAAGTTCTGTATTTTCCATTCTTCACTGAAGCAACAAAGGCTTGAGCCAAACAAAAGATTTTTTATTTCCTATAAAAAAAAAGGAAAAAAGCTCTCATTTTAAAAACAAACCCAATAGGCATATTTTCTTTCCATAATTTATAATAAGAAAGGAGACATGTGGCAGGATAATTACTAACTCTATATAACCACCCTTTTAATTTCGGTTTTATAAATACTGTAAATAGCAGGGCAAGTCCACTGAAAAGGAGTCATTTTTTCCTTTTCCTGCAATGTTCCTTCAGCACTTATTTTCTTTCAGCACATAATGCTATGTGTTGCTCCGCATTATGAGCTTTTTTCTGTAGATCATTGGATAAATGGTGCTTCTTGAAATGTTCACAGAAGACAGCCTCAAACTTAACTACAAGAGGAATAATATGTACTACTGGTTAAAAAAAAAAGATTACTGCTATGGTCTTCTCTTGAAGAGTTTTCAATTTCCCACACCTCAGTAAAAGATATCATCCAATGGGATAAAATATAAGCTGTGAAAGAAGTACCTTAGCTGGCACATTATGTAGAACAGACAATCTGTTTCACCTACCAAACATAGTGGTATGAGACCCATGTTGTTCAAAGTTTTGAATAACACTTGTCTTGGGACATGTAACAAACTGTGAAATTCGGATATTAGCACCAACCAAATTTGGACTGTTGACCCCAATCAGGAGTAGCTTCATTAAAGTCAATGGAGTTATGCTTGTGTAAATTGGATGTAAGTAAGAATCGGACTCCTTCAGTGTTTGGATACTTATTCAGACTATTTTGGTATAGAAATCAGGTTGGGAATCATTCTCATGAGATTTGTAGTGCTTTTTAGCTCTGGTTGAGTGGGAAGTACTATAAGAATAGCACTTCACATGGTTTTTAGATACTTCTGCCCGAAATAAAAGAGATAAAGATGCATGAGAAAATGGAGGGATCACTAGGGAATAAAGTAAATCAAAATTACTCTAAACCTCATGAAAGGTTTGGTTTGGAGGATAGGTAAATATGCAAATTTGTTTCCGTGAGGAGAGAGAGAGAGAGATGAAGATACAGAATAACTCTTATTTTATCCAAACCAGTTTGTCCACATCTAGTGAGAACCCAGGTGTGCTAATGAACAAGGCCTGGTCTACACTGGGAGGGGGGGGATGGATCGACCTAAGATACGCAACTTCAGCTATGAGAATAGCGTAGCTGAAGTCGACGTATCTTAGATCAACTTACCTCGCATCCACACGGCGTGGGGTCGACTGCTGCAACTCCCCCGTCGACTCCGCTTCTGCCTCTCACTGTGGTGGAGTACAGGAGTCGACGGCAGAGCAATCAGGGATCGATTTATCGCGTCTACACTAGACATGATAAATCGATCCCTGATAGATCGAGCACTACCCGCCGATCCCCAAGTCTACACCTTCCCACTCATAAACATACAATACCAACACACCAAGGGCCTGATTCATCTTGAACTGAAGTCAGTCAATTAGGAGTCTTTCTACTGACTTCAGTGACATTGCATTAGGCCCCGAGTGAAATGGGGAAAATAAATTCTTATTTTGTACTTGTTTGTGAGGTTTCTCAGCTCCAAACATATTCTATGAAATAATAACAATACATTGCACCTGTATAGTGCACTTTATCCAAGGATCTTGAAGCACTCTACATAACTGATGGATGAAGCCTTACAATATAAGTATGAGGAAGGTAAATACAATTATTACTATTTTACAAATGCATAAAATGAAGGATGGAGGAGTGTGAGTTGCCCAAGGTCACACAGAAGTCAGTGGAATATCAATAAGAGATCCCAGTAGTCCTCCTTCCTTATTCTAACCCCCCCTTAAAATACTACTTTTGAAATAACTGATTAAAAATTAGAAAAGGTCAAAGATGTAGAATTGACTGGAACCATTAACAAAGGAATGTAAAAATGCAATTTTAATGATTATTAGGATTTACTGGATTATGAATCTCAGATGCACTAAATATAAAAAACAAATCTATTGTAGCTTTAGCTTACTCAATAAAAATAACAGGTTTTAATGCATCATTTTGTGTTTATCATCATACATTTGTCTTACTTTTGCTAGGGAAATATCAATTGCCTTTGATACTATTTCAAGTGTATACAGCGTTGAAAGTTCTGGGATCCTACTAACTTCCCCAATCGTTGCTTCATCATCGAAATCAACTGAAAGAGAAGAAACCTTGTAATATGCAGAATGTTGTCTGGTAAACCAAATTCTGCCCTCCAATACCTCCAGGTAACCCACAGCTAGTGGTTTATCATAATGACCTATGCAACTTTAATACCTCTGATCTTTAAAAAGTTATGAGTACGGTTCCACTCTGAAAAGGGATGATACAAATTAGATCATGAAAGCCACTGTTTCTTATGCCCCAATAATTTTGTATTAAATTTGTTCAAAGGACAATTAAATTAAAATGGTTCATTTGTTTGTTTAAATTTCCTAAGTGCTAGTTGCATTTTCTTGGCCTGGCATCTAAAAGTTAAAATGGGATGGAAGTGAGCACACAATCTTATCTACGAAATTAAAACACAACTGTATGTACCCTGAATCAACTAAGACTTGATCAAAAACAGACCATTATGCACATTGCTGGTAAATTTTATTTTCTGTGAAAAATATGAGAGATAGACCAAAGTGAAGCACGACATGACATACCTACTTCTAGGACATCTTTCATCTGGTCACTTTTATTGGATATGGATGATGGAGTCTTTCTAAATTAAAATGAATTAAAGAACAAATTACCAAAGGTTCGCATTTAATGAAACAGCAATACAGAAGATTAGGATAAACAACGTATAAACAATCAAATCTTATTAGGGCAAAATCAAATTTTTCACAGAAGTATATGGCATTCTATATGGGATATAGACAATCACTAAAGCCAGAAGAGCAGTCTGCACATTGCAACCTAATGCATTCAATTTGTATCACTAAATGTAACTCCACTATGGCTCAGATCCTGCAAGCTCATTTGCATGGGCAGGACTCTACACTCTCATGGAGTCTCAACTGACATCTGTGGCGATCTGCATGAGTACAATGTTTGGGTGCCCACAACTCAGCTTGCAGGACTGGGACCCATGGCGTGAAATTCACTCCTGCATGAGGCCTATGGACCCCTTAAATCCAACTTAAATCCTTAAAATAAAATTTACGTGGGATATAAACTGTGCTGGCTCACACACTGGCCTTATTTGTAAATTGTGTCTCAACAAGTTAAACGTTTATAGAAATAAGGAAATGATGATAAAAGCTAATTTTTTTCAAACTTGGCTATGAAGTTAGACTCCTAAATATCAGTCGGATTTTCAGAGGTAGCACAGGCCTGTTGCTCCCATTGAATTCACACCAAAGTGAATACAGTCCAAGGAAAAGTTTCCTACTGCCACTGTTAAAGAGGATTTTTTTTTCAAAATAATAACACTGAATCATTTTTCATCCATCTTTTGTTTGGAAAACTTTGTTGCAAATGACAGTCCTTTCAAAAACTGTATGGAATAATTTCCTCAGAAACACTCTTTGTATGCACGCTATTATTATAGCAACAGTTGCTGCCATATCACATACTTTCCATTAACTTAATTTCCCTTTTTCACTGTGTAAAAGGAGAGGAATGAAAGCAGAACACACAAACACACACACCACACTCAGGACTTTTCCAGTCTAAAAACTTTTTGGCACCTGTTTCCCTTACAAGACTTTCTAGAACATAAAAGTAGGAACTACCATGCTGTTTTTCTCCACAAAAGCATTAAGGGATTGATTCAACTAAATCTGGCGGCATGCACCGAGTCACAACAAATAGACACTCTACAGTGGGAAATGAATCACCCATATTACTAGTAAGTCAAAGTAAAAGAATTAATGTTCATGGGCTCCAGGGCCGGCGCAACCCATTAGGTGACCTAGGTGGTCGCCTAGGGCGTTAACATTTGGGGGGCGGTGACCGCGGCGGCCAGATCTTTGGCCGCCAGATCTTCGGCCGCCCCGGTCGTCGTCAGTATTTCGGGGGTGGGACCTTCCGCCGCCTCTGTCGGGGGCAGCACTTCGGAGGCGGGACTTCCGCCGCCTAGGGCGGCAAAAAAGCTGGCAGCACTCCTGATGGGCTCAGTCCTGAGATCTAAGTAGGTGGGTTGAGAGCAAATATGCATAGCAACATACTAAAAGATTCTGAGTACAGTGGAAAATAGCAGTACCTTTTACTACAGTGTATTTTAAAATAAATACTACTACTAATTGTATTATGCATTAGGAGTGATAATCATGGAGCAGAACCCCAGTGTGCTGGGTGCTCCATAGAAACAGATCAAAACCACAGACCCTGCCCCCAATGAGATTACAATCAAAGGATAAGACAAGAGACCCCAGATGGATACAGAAGGACAGGGGAGCACAAGAAAACAATGAAACATGTTGGTCAGTATGATGGGCAATGGCACACCAGCGGACTAACCATTGTCAAGTAAATTACAGTACATTGTAACAGATCTTACTAATATTGGTTTCCATCATTCTTTTCAATTCATTTTTTTTATGGGCTACTTGCTAATATTTTCATACTTACTGGTCAGGTGGAGGGTCCCAAGAAAATTGATGTTTGCACATAGAATGTGTTTCAACGGAATACTGAAGTTACTCAACCATGCTTACAACAGTAACATGCTTTTTTATTTTTGTTTCTGAGATTGCAAACTATTCCACCTGGCTTCCTAGCAAGAATGTTCTTCCTTTCAAGGTCAACCACTTTGGGTCTAGACTTACACATACAGTAACTGAAAGCTGAGATCGCAATACACATAGGGTTTGGATATAAAGGAAAGTTACAAAAAGTGCCATTTGGTATAAGTCATTGTTCTTATCTACATCAGCATTGTTTACATTTAAAAGAGTGCGTGTGTGTGTGTGTCACCAAAAAAAGCCACTCACCCCCATTTACATTATACTGCACTTCACCATGACCCAGGTCGAAGATTTGATCATGAATTGAGCCACAAAGGTGACGGGATATATTACAGAGATTACAGATTAGGATTGTCGGAGATGATGACTGCCAAATGCTGCCAATGGCAGTCTGAAACAGAAGGACAGGGTTTACCAGTCATGTTCTTTCCCCCTTTAGAAGGAGCCTATCATGCAGCCTTGCATCAGCATTTAAATCTCTGTCTCTATATATAGTTTTTATGGGATCCACAACCATAGTATCTGTGCTCCTCACAAACATTAATAAATGTATCCTCTTTAAAGTACTCTAAAGGTATGTAAGTATTATTATCCCTATTTTTAAAGATGGGAAACTAAAACACAGAAGAGTTAAGTGACTTGTCCAAGGCCACACAAGGTGTGTGTGGCAGAACTAGAAACTAAACCCAGATCTCCATCCATGGTTTTAACTACAAGACCACCCTTCCTTCTGAGCTCTGATAATGTGCCCAATCACCTTAGTATCTGACTGCCTTTTGAAACAGAAAGGACTGGAAACAGGTTAAAACTCCCTCTTCTCCCAAAAAATCCTCAACCTGAAAGCAATTGCAAATGAAAAAAATACATAGACCCACCACTGAAAGAACTGAAAGTCAGTCTAAATGGATGATCTCAGAGAACTTCCAAGGCGTATATCACTGTGGAAAGCACCAAAAGCAGAGATCCACGTAGGATGGTTTCCTGCACAGAAGGGTATTTTTGCAGGTGGAGATTATTTGTGAGCTCCCTTCTTAAATTACTTGAAACTTCGTCAGAACTTTTACTGTTATTTCCACTTCAACAGATGGCTACCATTCCAGGAACATTTATTGTGCATATAAAATCATACAATTAAAGCACTTTGCAAGGAGGAAGTCATCCGTCATGTCAGAAAAATGGGGCAGGAAGAAAATATGTTTTATTATAAATATACCATACTGTATTTTCTCCAAATATTTGAACATTCCTCTTTCAACTCCATGCATAGAAAATGTTGTTTACATAGGACAACCAAACTCAGAGAAAGTTCTTCCCTCTGCACAATAATGCATGTGTCCTCTACGGTTTCCTATTTATATTAACCTACGCTGGAGGTCAAACAAACAAACGTGCTTATAAAATAAGCAATGGTCACCAGCTATTTCAGAGTAACTAACTGTGTTGGAAAACCCTGGTTTCCTTGTCAATTTAATGTATTCTGCAGCTCTTGCATGGTACTTACATCTTGCCTCTGAAATAATGTAGCGATTCAGAAGAATTCCTACAGGTTCTGAAACAATCCTAGAGTTGTATACTGTTCTGTTGCTATACACACAGTACAATAGACGTATACAGCCCTTATTCCATTCTTGTGATACTGGAGCCCATAGGACTAGCTTGCCTTTACTATATTCACTGCCTGCCTTCATTATATTTAGCTGTTTTCATTATATTCAGCTGTAATACAAGAAACCTACAGTATCCTGTATCCTGTAAGACATTAGATGAAGCATAAGTTAGCATAAGTGTGGTTAAATAGGCCATAACCCGTGGCATAGATCAACTATTACCTTTAGATTTTAGGAACTAGGGAGAGGTTGCTCAATAGTAGGAGGTGGAATGTTCCAGTAAGTGCCACCACAAGGAACATAGAAGTAATAACCCAACATCTGCTTAAGCAAGGGGTGATGGGTATGATCATGAGCTGACAGGGATCAGCAACCTTTGGCAGGAGGCCCATCAGGGAAAGCTGCTGGCGGGCCGGGACGGTTTGTTTACCTGCAGCGTCCGCAGGTTCAGCCGATTGCAGCTCCCACTGGCCGCGGTTTGCCTCTCCAGGCCAATGGAGGCTTTCCTTGATGAGCCGCGTGCCAAAGGTTGCCGATCCCTGTGGTAGTACGTGTATCAATATACTAACCTATAGAAGAATGACTAACCTCAGCATTAGTAGGATGAGAAAATACAAATAAGGAAAAGGGGAAAACCTGTTACTGAATATGCATTAGATATAGTGGTGTCGGTGCAACATATCATACAAGTCGCATCCCAGCATGATGGGGTAGGAGAGAGAGAGAGAGAGAGAGAGAGAAAGGTGGCCCTTGGAAGGGACCAGAATGATGACCACTCGTGATGAGGAGGAAGGTGATGATGATGAGGAGGATAATGGCTAACATTTCAGGTTGTCCTGCAAGGCATGGTGTGAGTATATGGATGTGCAGAGGTACATTCTATAGTCTCTCTATCTACCTTATTGAGTTAGAGTGTTTGTGACTTTGCTAAAAGTATTAATACAATATTTGAAAATATAGAAGAGTTCCTATAGTGTGAGTGTTGCAACTGTGCACATTGGTTCCCAACTATATAGTCATTTTATAAAACTGAGTCTGATCTTGGGACAAGAACCTGTCACGCCTCAAAGGGATAATTTGGAATTCTTAAGTAATCAATATAATTATATAATCATTATATTACTACATTGGGCTACAAGATGTTTCAGAGGACTAGGAAAAAACTAAAGTATTTTGTGCCAATATTTTTAAAAGGTAAATGGGATGACCCATGTACATATAGGCTGACAGAGTGACATCGATTCTGGGCAAAATCATGGAAAGACTTATACAGGATGCAATCAGTAAAGAGTTAAAGGGTGGCAGAGTAATTAATGCCAGTCAATATGGTTTTATGGAAAACAAGTCTGGTCAGATAAACTCAATATAGTTTTTTTATGAAATTGCAAGTTTTGTAGACAACGGTAACTCTATTAACATAATAT